AGGCCCGCGTACGGCAAAAAAAAAAAAAAAAAAATAGAGTAGAGAGCTCAAGGAGGTAAAGCCATAATTAATTAGTACTTCTTGGCAGACCTGTGTGCTGGTCCCCATGGTTCCTTGAGTTCTTCTCTATGTCCATGGCTTCCTTAACTCAAGACCTTGGAAGGAGCTATGGCAAACTGCTTCTGCACCGTTGACTTGCTTTTCTCACAAACTACGATATCAACAGCACTAATGTGCCAGATAAGCAGACGGTGAGAATTAGCCAGAAGGTCTCATGAAGAGAAGAGTTAAAATGGGTAGCTTTATTAGTGGACAGTGTTGCCATTCAGTTTTGGCAAACTGTTTTTCTTTCATGGCTTTTAAACTGACTAATGGGGATGGAAAAAATCAAGAGCCCAAACTAAATAAAAATTATCATTAGGGGGAAAATTTTGATGGGGAGGGGTGTGCCACTGTGTACGACGTTGTCTCTAGCTTTGAGGAGAGAAGCAACTCTTTCTCATACTTAATATTTAATTTTCATAATGGACTTCTTCAGTTACTCATTCATTCCTCACTTGTGGCAGGCTAAGCTCTTTACATATCTTTACACATATTATCCCTAATCCTCGCAACAATTTTGCAGGGTAAGTCATAGTCATTCATTTGTTTGAGCAACAAAGATTTTTGTGTTAAGTGGTTGTTTGGAGGCTGGCTGTGAGTGCAGTGATGGGAATAGAACAGCCAAAAAGCAGTTTCCCTGCCCTTAAGGTATTTTCCATTGTTGGATGCGAAAGACAGACAAACAGGTCATTAGAATGCCTTCTTGTATTCTTACACACTCTTCGGGGGTAATGCGAATTTGTGCATATTTATTGAAGAGCAATGGTGATACCTAGTCAGCACATCTAGGAATCCTTCCTATAGAAATACCTGCACACAACTGAAAAGGTATTTGGCAAGGATGGTAATTGCAGCATTGTTGTAGCAAAATGTTGAAAAAGTTCACTGGCAGGGGAAGCGTTAAATCATTATGTTATATACAGACACTGGAATGTGATACAACATTCAAATGAATAAATGAATGAATGAATTCATTAAAATGAATAAAGATCTGTATGTGTTGACACCACTATATGTGATATGTTGGTAAATGACAAAAGCATGTTGGTAGAGAAATCTGTATAACAGAAATATATTACCTAAAATAATAATCATAACGAAAAAGAAAAAAACAATTCTGCAAGAGTCACACCAGATTCTTAGCTCTGGTCTCCTTTAAGCAGAAGGTGAGAGAGGGGTGTGTGTGTGGGGGGGGGTGGGCAACTTTTATGTATTTCTGCATTATTTCAATTGACAAGATAAACACGAGTCCTTTTGAAATATTTTAAACAGCAGATAAATTTTGAATAAGGGGATAGGTGCTAGGGCAGAGTTATGTCCAGGGTCCTGTGGGGACAGAAAGAACCCAGACTGGAGGAGGGAGATGGTCAGAGAAGGCTCTGGGTGGGGACCAGCCTGGCCGAGACGAGGATGAATGTAGTCAGGCGTTTGGAGGGAACAGAGGACGAGGGTTTCCTGCTCAGGAGCATCCCGGAGCACTCTGGGTGGGCGGCCCCTCGACGCTGTAACAGCCGGCCCAGGTGGTCCCGGGTTCTTCCTCCTTCCTCAGCCTCCACGGTGTGTCAGCCGCTGTTCCTAAATACTTCGCATATTTCCACCTCTTCTCTAGCTCTCCTGTAGACCTCTCATTTCTCACCTGGATGGTTGAGAAGCCCCCCCACCCCCACCCCAGTGGGTCTCCTGGTCCCTATCTGTATCCCATGCCCTCCTACCCCGGTCTGTCCTTCACTTTGCTGAGTGATCTTCTAAAAATGCAATTTTGACCCTGCTATCTTCCTTAAACTTGTCAATGACCCTTCATAGATTCTGGGATCTAGCCCACCCCTCTAAAGCAGACACACAGAAGCCCTGCTCACCTCTCCCACCTTCCTCGCACGGTAACTCTTATTCTTGTTATCTGGAATTTTTTCATTTCTTTGCAAATGCCATTCTTCTTATCAAACAAGGGATGGATGTAGGTAGAGAAAGAAAATCCATGATGTGGATTTAGTAGTTGGTTTTCAGCCTATTAACCTGCAAATATTCTAACATTGCCCCCCTTTCTGGGAGTAAATGTCCATATGTCATGTTATTTGAGGCAACAATTTAGAAATTAAGACATTTCAAGGCAAATAGTCTTCTTACTGCCCTTGGGGCTATTTTCTTTTGTAAATATACTTGAAGGATGTTTCTAACAGCAGGTCATTCTCCACACAGGACTTCAGAATCTGGCATTAATTTGTGTACTTGTCTATTCCAAATCCGGATACACTCCACCTGTATATAGAATACACACTGTTCTAAAAACACTACATTGACCAAACAGTCCTTATTTGCTTTGGCTAAACTTGAGTTAATGGATGGACTTGATGTACAATAAGATAGATACAAAACTGAGTGATAGTCCCCTGGGAGATTCACTTTAAGACATGCACAGGGCCTCCCTGGTGGCGCAGTGGTTGAGAGTCCGCCTGCCGATGCAGGGGATACGGGGTCGTGCCCCGGTCCGGGAGGATCCCAGATGCCGCGGAGCGGCTGGGCCCGTGAGCCATGGGCGCTGAGCTTGCGCATCCGGCAACGGGAAAGGCCACGACAGTGAGAGGCCCACATATCGCAAAAAAAAAAAAAAAAAAAAAAAAAAAAAAAAAAAAAAAAAAAGACATGCACATATTATCCTTCAGTCCCATCCACTGAACTTTTATCTTTATGTTATTTTTCTATCATTGAATAGACTAGATAATCCTTTTAAGTAAATAACAGTTGGTTTCAGCATGTTAATTTTCAGAAATGTTTGTACTTATATTCAATGTAGGAGTGAAGTGATAGACTATTGTCTCACTCCCTCTGGTGGACAATTGTATTAAAAAAATCAAACTACATATAGTCTTGTGTGGCAGGGACAGGTTGTGACTAGTTCTGGTGTTTTAACATTTGTGTTAAATAATAGCAGTAGTAAAACACATAGTAGTACTAACGCTGTTGCTATTTCTCTTGTTATTGAGTAGTGACACTGCTGTGAAAAAACGAATTAGAAGCCGACTTCACCCCATAACTTTAGAACAGTGCTACATCAGGATAAGGCTCATGCTAAAATTCAACAATGTAGTTAATTCAGCAGTCTAAATATTACTCCACAGATTATCCTGGACTCCTCCAATAGCTAGACTTTTCACTCAATAATGCATATTTTTGGAAACTTAGCAGATGATTATTTTTACCTTGAATCAGTTTATTTTGATAAATTTATTATTTTGTTCATGATCTTCTGAATTTACAGACTCACTGAAGTTGCTTTATCTTTCTTATGGATATTCATCGATATCAAGTGTTACCTAGGAGGTTGTTCTTTGCTCTTCAGCAAGGTTAAACCAGAAAGAAATTGCATAAAGGCCTTCGATTAGATTAAATTTCATTTGTATATAATGATAATTTTATTTTATGTATTACTAACAGTTCACATTTGTTGAGTTAAGCATTTGATGGGCATTGTGTCATTTAATTTTTCAGTAACTCTGTGAGGCAGGTAGGTAGTTGTTATTATCCACATTTTATAGAGGCTGGTGAAGGTGGGCCTAGCTCATCCAGGTGTTCTCAGTTCAGTGTTTGTAACCCCAACAATATACTGCCTCCTGAAGTAGGTGATAAATAAGTATATGTGTGGCTAATACCCTTATGAGACTCCTAGTACTGGAAACATTTCCATCTTTGAACTGGGGAATTCAAAGACTACCTCAACCTAGAGATAGATTTTTACCTTTTCTCTTTCTGTTCTCTCATTGTGAATAGGCCTTGTAGTAGAACGTATTTATGTTTTGTTTAGATACTTAAGACAAATTATATCTATTATCATAGAAACAGGTTTCATGAGAAGAACACATTTTAGCTCATTAGCTTCCTCACTAAGTCTTTGAAAGAGATGCTGTTAGGTGTAAATGTGGAAAGGAAGGGTACAGTTGCTATGTACTAACGCTAAAGCTCGAGCAGGGCACATCGAGGGTTAGGTACTGAAAACCTTTATGAAGAATTTTTGAAACAGATACAGATAATTAAGGGTAATTTAGGAAATTCCTTTTCTGAAAATATTCAGAATTAGAATAAGGTAATTTTCTTGAAGTTGGCAATTATAAAGAATAGCTACCATATAAATGCTTTACATGTATTATCTTTTTAATTCTTATAATAAGATAGTGATTGTTAATAACCTAACTTAATTATTATAGACAGTATCCAGAAGAGAAAGCTGAGACCCAGAGAAATTAAGTAGTTTGCACACGGATATACGGCTAATAAATGGTGAAGTCGGGATCAGAACTCACATGAAGTGGTCTGGCTGGAGAGCCCACCCTCTGAACAACTTTGCTATATAGCAGTGCTGTCCAATAGAACTTTTTGTGATAATGGAAGTGTTTGATGTCTGTGTCGTGCAATGCAGTAGCCACTAGGCGCATGGGCTACTGAGCACATGCAACGTGGCTAGTCCAACTAAGGAATCTGATTTTTTGTTTTTAAAATTTTAATTAATTTAAATTTAAATAGTCTCTGTGTGGTTAGTGTCTACTGTTTTGGACAGAGCGGCGTTACAGGGTCTTTCAGATCATGTAGTAGGGGAGACATGAGAACTTTAGAATTACCCTGTCTAACTCCTTGTTTTTACTGATCAAGAAACTGCAAACCACATGGTTAGTAATCTGCTTAGAGTCATAAAATTAAGGAAAGGGACAAAATTATAAGTAGAGTCATAAAATTAAGGAAAGGGACAAAATTATAAGTAGGTGTTTATACTTCTCAGTTACAAACGACACCTGCAAACTTACATTTCCGCTGCTATTGTCAATATTAGATTGTAAAACTACTGTTTTTGAAAAAAAAAATGTTTTTTTCTGAAATACACGCCAGTGAGCCCTTTCCTCTTTTCTCAGGTTATAGAAACATTATCGCGACTCTCTCGCACACCTGTAGCACTGGCCACAGGAATCAGGTAAGCTAGCTTCTCTGTGGTTCATATGTCCTGTTCGGTTCAATGAAGTGATTGTTTATTGAATGGCTACTATGTGTAAAGCATTTTGCATACAGGGACCACATCTCATTCATGAAGAGTGGCCGGATATGTAAGTGCTCAATAGACATTTGAAATTTATCAAGCAAGTAAGAACTTATTCATAGCATTGAATAAGATGCATTGGCTAAACATCGTTCTCAACTCACTGGTGACTGTCACTGATACAGTTCTTTCTTTTAACTTCCTCTAACATTCCTATACAGTTGTTTCATTAAGACAAACACAAATGCTTAATTAAATAGGTATTTTTAAAAAAGATATTGCTGTACATTTATATCCTGTAGGCCATAACAATAAGTCACAACTTCTAGGCGTTTAAGAAATAATCAGACAAGTATAAAATATGTTCGAGAAGGTGTATTGAAAGTTTGGAACTAAGTGAAAAACTTGGAAGTACTGTTGATCCTTGAAAAACGTGGAGATTAGGAGCACCAACCATCCACACAGTTGAAAATTTAAGTATAATTTATATTCGGCCCATTGCATCCTCAGTTCCTCTGCACCTGTGGTTCCAACCAACTGTGGATCGTGTAGTATTGTAGTATTTACTATTGAAAAAAATCCATTTATAAGTGGACGTGTGCAGTTCAAACCTTGTTGTTCAAGGGTCCACTGTAAATTGGTTAAATTATACCTTCTCCATGCAGTGAAGCATTATGCAGTCAGTTAAGTGTGGAAAAGTAGATGTGTTATGTTGTGTCGGGCCTTTTCTTTTTAAAATACTGCATATTCAAGTTAGGTCAGTCAGAAAGTTGTATTATTAGGAATGTTAGAAATACAGAAAAACAGTTTCAGTAGCCACACAGCCAGGCCATATGGAAATGGAATGGATCTCATTTTTTACCTGATTTCCTCAGGGCTCCATAATTCAGTCTCCAGCCGTTATGGGGCTCTGTGCCCCTGGGTCTCTTCTCCTGTTGCTTCCATTTTTCTGTTCCCATTCAGTTTCAAACAGAGAGGATCCAAGCATGACAGCCCAGTCCCTGGGTACAAAGCACAGTGACCTTGGGGAAGACACCCACAGACCCTTCCTCAGAAATGGGCCATGAGTTTGGCAGCTTTCTACAGTAGTCTGTAGGCTGGATAAATGTTCCATACCTTGTCATTTTCTCTTCAATACATGATTATCTTTCCATGTCAACATATATTTTCTTATATGCAAACAGCAAATTTTGAAAAAGCATGATTCTATTCTTGTATTTATATATTGTTGATTCTGAAACTATATATAGAAGAGTTTTTTCCTTGTTATTCTTACTTATAATTTCAATTTTTTACTACAATAGACTTGTATATAAGAGTATAATAAAATGTGTCAAACTTTATTTTAAAAAGGATTTTGAAACTGGCATTTCTCACATTTTAATTTATTTGAAAAATATATGTTCCTCAGATGTCTTAAATACTAAGTTAATACATAAACGAATGTGAAAATGTTTTCACTATACTAAATATAATTATTTAGTAATTATCTAGTGCCTATTTTTTATTTTGATGGATCCTCTTGTTTTTATGGAACATATGACATGTTGACTTCATGTAAAAAAGGGTAAAACTTTTGGCACTATAGTATAATCACTGTGATTTTGTTAGACATAAATTTAGGGTATTATGTTGGTGTTATGAATAAAGTTCATAGTACGAAGCAAACAAGGGACGCCAATGGCTAGGAATAGGGTAGAAACTAAAGTGATTTTCTTTGAGCAGGGGACAAAGAAAACGTACTCTTTTTGAGGCCTGTTTGACTTATTTGTCCAATAGATGAAAAATAAAAAATACAACACACAACTTACGGTCTGAGTAGAAAAGTATATCAGAGTCAATGGTCATATATAAAGGGCATGGCTTTTTTGTTTTCTAATTCTCATCTATACTAGTGAATTGAGTCATGCTAGAATGGTTGTTACCAAATTACCAAGTTATTTGTCAGATCAGATTCTGTAAGTGCAAAGAATCTGAGTGGTGCTAAAGGCAAGGATCCACTCTGAGCTGGGGAGCTGCAGTGGGCGCTGACGTGAGCCTGCAGGTGTGTGGCTGGTGGGAGGTCAGATGAGCACCTCAGCACGTCCACAACTGCTCACATGACTGTGGTGACCAGCCGTGATTGCTGCAGGTGATTTGAGGTAGCAGGTGCCACGCCTCCCTGGGGGACCCTGACACAGCCACAGGCAGGCACTTTGGGAGAAGCCCCAGACGTCGTGTTAAACGTGGTGACTGATCTGACCACTTTGGCAGCAGCTGAACGTATGTGTTTCGTGAGAGGTAAACGTCCAGCCTAGTTGTTGCCTATTCACTCTTTTTTTTTCCCTTCCTCCTAGGCCCTTCCCGACAGAAGAAAGCGTTAATGATGACGACATCTACAAAGGCCTGCCCGATTTAATAGAGTATGTTGAGCATTTTCAACAAAAGTACACCACTGCCAATTTTTGCCTCCTTTGTGGATTTTAACCGTGGGTGTTTAAATAGCTCTCTGAAGGGGAACCGTGGCTTAGTGATTGAGACTTGTGAGAATTAACCTCCAACTCCTGATGGAAAGCTTCATGAGAAAATGTATTTCAACTGGCTTTTAATTCCTCTTGTGTGCCTTGCATTGTGCAAGTCTCTATGGAGAGTAAAGAAACAGACAGCAATGAAGTAACATTTGGAAGTTTCTCAAAGGCAAAGTAAAGGTAGTAGATAAACCTGGAATCAGACAATTAATGAGAGAAGTATTAATAGAATCTACCACCGGACCTGTAGGACAGATAGTGCTTGCTGTGTAAGTTCAAGGATGAACGAGATCAGTGTGGGTGGGAGTTATTCTGGGATGTTTCATTAGATGGTGTTGATTCTGAAGAGAGAATCCTTTTGGGCTGTATCATTTAATAGTTGGGAGAGGCTAAAGGTCTTTGCAGCTGTTTATCTTCCGCTGATTGAGTGACTTGTGCAGATTACAAATAAAGGTAAAACTTGATCCTCACCCCTCAAGGAACTGATGCCAAAGATCAGGTATGTTTGCAAAGAATTATAAGAAGACATAGATTCTGCTCCAGGAGAGATTCAGATCCTGTGGAAATTCATCCACTGATCCATCCTAATACCCCAGCACACGGACGTTGTTCTTGACCTAGGACTTCTACACTTGCTGTCCCTTCTGCCCATGTGGCTGACCACTTGCCATCCAAGTCTTTGCTCAGATGGCTCTCCCAGCGAGGCCTTTCCTATCTAAAATTGCTGCCACCCTTACCTTGCTCTGTGTTTTTACGGTACTCGCCTCTACCTGAGGCAGTCTTGGCTTGCTTCATTTTTTGTCCGTCTCCTCATCAGAAGGCCTGCTTCATGAGGTCAGGGACTTGACCTTGTTCTTGGCTCTTTTCCTAGCACTTCAAACAGTGTCTAGTGCCCTAGTAGGTCCTCAGTAAGTATCTGTTTTCTGAATTAATAGGCCAAAGCTGCATTGAGCACTTACTGTCTTCCAGGTATGATGCTTCAGGCTGGAGCTGTCTATCATGAGACATCTATCAGTTCATAGGAGCTTACTGAGTGCGTGTTTCTGTGCTAACCATGTCACACGCATCTCTCATGTAACACCATGTTATGAGGTTGTTCCTAGTTATCACCAGAGTTTACAAATGAGAAAATGAGGCTTGAAAAGCTAAGTAACTTGCTGAAGATCATATTGAAGATCATAACTTGCTGAAGATCATAAGTAAATAGTAGTCTTTGGATTGGAACCCAGGCAGTTCTTATTCTAGCGTGGAGGCTCTTACTCACTGCGTTGATTCCCAGAGGCCTTGCTCCTCTGAGAGCTCTCAGCAGGAGAGCACCGTGACGGGAGCCACCAGCAAGGCTGGTAGCCCTTCCCAGAGTAGGCTGCCTTTGGATGGGCCTCGAAGTCTTGTATTTTACATGTGTATTAAGAATGGTTTCTCATCTCTTCTTAAAATCTCCAAGAACTCACTAATCTTCAGCAAGGTAATTGCTGATTGTCTCATTGAATTGGCTACAGTCTTCATAAAGTGACTATAAGATTACTTATAAGATAATTGAATTCCTTATCATCTTAGAAAGAATATTATTTCCAGTGCTATGATGACATTCTATCTTAACTCCCCACCTACACCTACTCATTTTTATAGTGTTCCCTCCTCTTGTTCTGTTGATGCCAAGATAAACCCTGTGAGGATGCAGGTTTGGAGAAAACTTGGGCCCCTGAACTGGCTGCTCTGAGGTGCCAACTCACATGCTCTGGGAGGTGCAGTCTGCTTCACCTCTTCACCAGGTGGTCAGAGGTCCAAATGTCGTGTGTTTCCTGCAAATGCCTGCTTTTGAGTTTGCTATGAGGGTTTGCTTTTCAGTCTTGGCTTTGTTATGATCTCTATGGGCTCATAGACTTCCCTTTAACCTCTGGGGGTGAATCGCTTGAAGGGAGGGCCCCAGAACAAACACTGGTCTGCTCCCCAGGCAGGGGGAGTCATTCTGTCCTCACGTGGAGAGAAACAGACACAGGATGGAATGGAGAGCGTGTAAGATGGCTAAACAGTAGTGTCCTTGCTCCTCAACCTTTATGACCAGGGTGTCAGACGGGACCATATCTAGGTTGCCCAGACACAGGAAAGCTAATATAGATTGCTGTTGATTTATTGACCATTTGAAGAATCACAGCTTTTTCCTCCCTCTCCCTTCTTCATTTTGTGCAAATCAGAGATTACTGCCCAAACTGTTAGCAAGAAAAACAGCTTTAGTATGGGATTGAATAACAAAACCCAAACTGTTCTAGCCCAGTTGCAATGTGTGTGGGTGCGTGTGTGTCACTCCAACAGTTCTTAGAGAAGAATCTGTGTGAATTTATACATATGTACCTCTGCCCTCATGCAAAATAGTCAATAGCAAGACTTTAGAAAGACGATGTGATTTCTTTGTTTTTTTGGCTTTTTTTTGTTGGTTTGGGGGTGGGGGTTGGAGGGTCTTAGGGAGGAAAAGGATTTCACAGCCTGTTTTCCTTCTGAACAGGATCCCCTTTGATACAGAACCTACTCCTTTATCATTTCTTTAATCTCAGTTCCTTCATGAACTCATCAGACCTTCCTACCCTTTGATGAGTTATAGAAAGTGCTCGAACCAGTTTAACAGCCCCACTCTTCTCAGGCGAGACTGCCTGAGGCGAGGCTGCCTGCCTAAGCCCCTCAGTATGGAAATTCTGGAACTGCCAGTAAGACTCACCATCTCCCCAGTTTTTCAGAGTAGAGAGCTGAAAGCATCCTTCAGTCCTCCCCCCGCTCTCCCTAATCCGGATTGGTCTCCAAGTCTGGTTGGTGGTAGCTGACACGGTCTCCTGAGTCTCTGTTTCTCTCCTCATCTGCCTTTACTCTGGTTATGGTATTCATTACCTCTCACCCACAGCATTTCATTTCTTGGCTTCTCTATCTCCCTGCTTGGCTTCTTGACTCTCCACACTACCTCTCTATAACCCCCTGTGGTCCTCAGATGCCCAGGTAAGGTTGAACTCCCAGAGCACAGGGCCCTTCTCAGATAGGTTCACCTCTTCCCTCTGGGGCTCCCCTCACTCACCTGGTCCCACTGGATGGGACTCCACCCCTCACGTCGCCAGCTTCTGCACACCTCTCTGCCATCGCACAGGTTGGGGTCCTTTGAATGTTCATCCCCTCTTCTCATTCATTGTGTCACCTTGGAGTGTGGAAACTGTGTCTGCCTTGTCTGCAGCTATATCTGCTGGAACATAGTATTTATTCAGCAAATACCTATTGAATAAATAAATACACTCGAGATCCAGTTCAGATGTAATATCTTCCATGAAGCTTTCCCTGCCTTCCTTAGTCAGAGTTATTCTTACTCTTTCCTCTGCACTCATAGAATTATGTGTTTATGTGCTGTTTTCCACACTAGACTATGGGAGAGCCCTTGGATCTTCTGGATCCATGCATTCTTAGCACCGGCGAGTCTGGCAATCAGTAGGTTCTTAGTTTAAGAATCAGGGAGGTGGATGGACTGGTGGACAGGTAATCCTGGAATGAATTTTTCTCACAGCAGTTTCTCTGAAACTTCTCTCACCACCAGAGCGTTCTCCCTTAAGGCACCTTCCTTTCTTCTGGGTGTCTGACAGTTTATTTCTGTCAAATGCCTCCAGATGACTCTTCATGACAAACATAGACAACCTTGTGATTGCACCTACTTTGAAAAATGCTCTGAGTTGCAGAGTGACATTTATAGTTAGTGTTTTTATTTTTTTACGTATCAATTTATAATCTATCTGCACAGGCCCAAGAGAAATGCTAAGGGCTGGCAGTACTGAAAGAGTTGAATTTCTTTTCAGAGAGATATTAATGCTTCTTTCTAACATACCTAAATTTATTAATCTCAGTTCTTTGACATTATTAGTTAATAGAAGCTAATTCTAGAACTCTTGAACTGAAAGGAAAAACTTAAGGATTAGTAACAGAATGGGTGATAGGTGGAAACAGCTGTTTCCGGGTTGACTGGATAGGGCCCGATTTTTAAAGTCTCCATGAATGCCTCCACAGTGACTGATTATCTTTCC